GAAGGAGGGCAGGAATTCTGTGGATGGAGGGGCAGGAGGGCAGGAATTCTGTGGATGGTGTGTGTGGAGGGGAAGGAGGGCAGGAATTTTGTGGATGGAGGGGAAGGAGAGCAGGAATTCTGTGGATGGTGTGTGTGTGGAGGGACAGAGGGGCTCTGACTCTTCCCCATACCTGGGAAAGGCTGTTGTGGGTCCTGTTCACTGTGCCCAGCATGGGGTGGGAGGTGTTTGTGCCTCACACAATTTGCTTCTCCCGGTGCAAAATTCCGGGTGAATCCGTGCCCCAGTGTGGGATCTGCAGGTGTTTCCCCAGCTGCACTGCTCAGCTTCCCATGATCCTTGGGAAGGAAATGCTTTGTGAGGGTTGGATTTACTCCTCAGGAAAGGGAATGTCTGTGAGGAGTTCTGGATGCAGTGCAGAGGAGGTGGGAATCCAGGGATTTTGGGAGCTGTCCCAGCAGATGGAATTGGGATGTGTCCGCACTGGATTCGCCTCTTCCAGCCCTGCCCCTTTTCCTGACTTTTCCCAGCTGAGCAGCAGCCCTCAGGATGGCATTCCAGAGGGCCTCTTGTTCAGGGAGTGATGGAGCTGGCCCAGGTTGCCAAGGAAAGCTGTGGCTGCCCCTGGATCCCTGGGAGTGTCCAAGGCCAGGTTGGAGCAGCCTGGGACAGTGGAAGGTGTCCCTGCCCGTGGCAGGGGTGGAATGGGATGAGCTTTGAGGTCCCTTCCAACCCAGACCATCCTGGGATTCAATGATTCCATGGAATCAGGCTCAGGGTTTGGTACAAACCTCTTTCCCTTCCCGTGCTCAGCAGCTCCTCTTGGAATCCTGGAGGAGTCTGGGCTGGAAGGGACCTGGAAGCTCCTGTTGGTTCCCCCCTCCTGCCACTTTGACCAGGTGTCACATCTTCTTCCACTGTGGGCAGGACGAGTTATAAAATGCAGATAAAAAGAGCAAATATAGGGCAGGAGGCAGCAGGGCTGGACAAACACAGTGCTCTGAGTGAAAGGAGAATTAAAGGAGGTTTTCCTGTCCCTAATCCTGCCTGTGCCCAATAATTACAACATTCCTGGAGGGAAGAGGGAAGGGGCATTTCTGAGGGAGAGCCTTTAACCCTGGAACTGGAGTGGTCACTGTCCCCTGGGGCTCATCTTCAAGGGACAGTTTGGAAAAGCTTTCTTGGGCTTGTTTGTGGATTTTTGGCAGGTCTCTCTTTTTATCCCTCTTTTTTTTTTAGAAACTTTTTGACCTCAGTAACAGGAGGTCAGTTCACTCTCGCCGTGTTTTGGTTTGGCTGAATGTTTTTCTGACCCGTGGTGGAAGTGGCTAAATAGGAACTATTTAATAAATGGGAAAACAGGATCCCAGGTGTCTCTTCCTTGTCTGGATCCTTCTGCTGTCACTGCCTCATTTGAGTCTTTAAACTCTGAAATCACTTCTGCTTTCCCCTGGAGGCAGATCCTGCAGGTTCCTGCACATTTTTATTCCCTCCCCTAGTTCTAAGTGTGTTGTTATTATCATTATCCTCGTTGTTAATGTTATTGTTTGGGGCAGTGATGATCTCCACGAGCAGCCCCACTCGTTTGTGCCTGTGCAGCCCAGCACATCCTGTTACTTCCCATTCTGAAATTCCAGGGGATCCTTGATCTGCTGTCATTTATTCTGCTCTCCAGGTTGGTGGGTTTGGGTTTCAGCTTTTGCAAACAGACACTTTGGGTTTGCAGTTTAACCAAATCCCTTCTTCCCTCCTTGGCTCAGCCAACGGGGCCTTCTGGGCTCTGTCCTGGCTGCTGCTTGAAGAGTCTGCTCTGAAACAAAAGGGGTTTATTTTCTTTCCTTTAGTGTTTGAATCTCTGTTACTTTGCTAATTAAAAACCCTTCCCCTGATGGGCAGTGCCTCTGTTGAAGGTTTTTTAGGAAGTTGCTGCTTTGCTTCTCCCCGGGAGAGGGAATGGATCACACGGTGGTACTTTCACTCTGGAGTTATTTGTGGATGTTCTGTGACCATTAACTTTCAGCTGTAGATGCAGAGGGGGGAAATCTCCTCTTGGCAGTGCATTTATCATGTTTAACCCTATTATTTATCACCTGCCTCCCACTGCACACAGTGGTCGGAAGTTGTGCTGAACTTTAGCCGGGGCAGAACGAGGACCCAGCAGTTTGTGCCGTGCCTGGATGGTTTGTAAGGCCCCAGCTGAGCCCCCCCCTGTCCCCTGTGTGCCCCCAGGCCCTGAAGCAGCAGCAGCAGAAGCAGCAGCAGCAGCAATGCCGGGCGGGAATGCCCGTGTCCTCCTCTAACCAGCACGTCCTGCTCAAGGCCGTCAAGGCGGGCGGGGATTCCGCTCCGGGGAGGTCAGGTGAGTGCAGGGACACTGGGATGGGAGGGCCCCTTACTGTCCTGAGGGGATAACAGGGGAAACTGCTCCTTGCTGTGCTGTTCTCCTGCCCCTGACATGGCCCAGCTCCTGATTCCCTGGCTTTGGTGTCAGTGGGGATGCGTCGGGGCGGGGACGGATCTTGGATGGATCCCACTGGTTGAAGCCTCTCCCCGTGCTCAGGTGCTGCCCAGGGCTGGGCAAATCGGGGCTGTTTGTCCTGGCATTGATGTTTTCCCAAGTGGCTGCTGGTTCCCCAGGGTGGATTCCATGTCCTGTGCCAAAGGAACAGGTTCTCACCTGAGAGATCCCGGAGAAGTTTCCAGCATTTCCAGCCTTTGTGCTGTGTCAGGAGTGAAGGAGGTCCCTGCCCTGCTCTGGCTGGTCCAGCAGGGCAGGAGCTCCCTGAGCAGCAGCAGCATTTCCCAGGGGATCCGGAATTCTTGGGAGTTACTTCCAGCCTGTTTTCCCTGAATTCTTTCCAGTGTAACTGGTTCCCACGGTGGGTCCTGGTTCTGTCAGCCTGGTTCTGAGTCACAGAATCATCAAATCCCAGCTTGGGTGGGAAGGGGCCTTAAATCCCACCCTGTCCCACCCCCTGCCATGGGCAGGGACACCTCCCACTAGCCCAGGTTGCTCCAAGCCCCGTCCAACCTGGCCTTGGGCACTTCCAGGGATCCAGGGGCAGCCACAGCTTCTCTGGGAATTCAATCCCAGCCCCTCCCCACCCTCCCAACCAGGAATCCCTTCCCAATCTCCCATCTCTCCCTGCCCTCTGGCAGTGGGAAGCCATTCCCTGTGTCCTGTCCCTCCAGCCCTTGTCCCCAGTCCCTCTCCAGCTCTCCTGGAGCCCCTTTAGGCCCTGGAAGGGGCTCCAAGGTCTCCCTGGATCCTTCTCTTCTCCAGCTGAGCACCCCCAGCTCTCCCAGCCTGGCTCCAAAGCAGAGGTGGGAATTTCCCAGTGTCTCTGCTTCAGCTTTCTGATAAATGAGGAAGCTGAAATGGGAAGGAAACCCCATTTTTTCCAGCAAGTGTAAGAGGAAATAAAAGGTGGTCCCTGTTTGGCTGCAGGAAGGGAGGTTGGTGCTCCTGTCCCGGCTCTGTTTGTCCAAGGATTCCCTGGCACAGCCTTGGCTCTCCCAGCAATCCTGGGCAGGGCTGGGCTCTCCACACTCCCTGATTCCATAATTCCTGGGATTCAGTCAGAGCCAGAACAGCCCGTGTGAGGAGGAGAAGGGAGGGAAAGGAACCAGGCAGAGGAGGGGAAGAGAGAAACAGAGCTGGCACAGCAGGGGAAGGGACTGATCAGTGCAAGTCATGAATTAGAGCCAGAATTCATTTAGGTTGTGACTTAATCCTATGTCACAACTCCCGTGGAGTTTCTCTTCCAAGATCTGGGACTTCAGCACCTTTTCCAGGCTGGAGGGAGTGCCTGGTGCTCACCTGAAGAGAGCAGAGGAAAGAGCAGCTCAGGGTAATTCCTCTCCCTTGGGAGGAGCAGGGACAGGGAGGCAGGAGGAGCTGGGGAAGAAGCTCTTCCCAGCAGCAGCAGCAGGAATTCTGCTGCCCAGAGGAGAAGGTGGGTGTGAGGGATGTGTGAGGATCCCCAGGGGTGGGATCTGTCTGGTTTGGCTTGGAAGGAGGACATGGAACTGTCTCCTGAGTCCTGCAAAGGGGAGGGAAGAGGAATTCCCTGGGCTGGGCTGAGGGAACAAAAGCTGTGACAGTGAAGTTTAGAAAGGACACATAAAGTACAAAGAGGTTTTTTCCTGATGGTGAACTCCAACAGGAGCTCTGTTAACTCTGCAGTGTCAACAGGACAGTCCTGGGTTGGATTCCCACTATTCCAGGTGGGAGATAAATGGGGACTAAGAGGGAAATAGAGTCAAAGCACACATGGCATGGCTGCCCATCCCTTGGGTTTGGGATAGTCTCGTGTGTCCATCCCTTTGTTTTGGGATAGTCTCGTGGTTCCAAAGGGGTCTCCTGCATTCAGCCTGTTGGGCAGTAAGTGCTACAAGAACAGAGGAGTGTCCCTGTCCTGGAATTGCCTGTCCCTGACTCCAGGGCTGGGGTTGTGTGTTGGAGAACCTGTTCCATCAAACAGGGCCTTGCTCTGTCTGTGCCCGTGTTCCAAGGTCTCCTCTCCCGGCAGGTTGGGAAGGGAAGCAGGCAGAGGGGCAGTCCAGCAGCCCCCAGAACTCCACCTCCAGCTCCTCTCCCTCTGTGAAGCTCGAGAACTCCCTGCCAGGGCTGGGCAAGAAGCCCTTCCAGAGATCCGACAGGCTCCATGCAAGTAAGAGCCCCATTCCCTGCTCCCAGGGCTTTGGCTGCTCCAGGGGCAGAACAGAAGCCTGAAAGAGCAGAATTTTGAGTGAAGTGTGTTAATTCTGTTGCTGGGGGGACTTGTGGAGAGCCCTGGGAGGTGCTGCCAGTCTGCTGTGGGAATTGGGATAAATAATTCAACCTTCCATATGCAGATCAGCCTCTCTCAGTCCTCCTCATCAGGGCTTTTTCCTGGGAATTCGCAGCTGTTTGAGAGCACAAAAGGACCTGCACTATTTATCAGGCCTTTTAATGTCCTTACACACTCTGATAACTAACAGGGAAAAAGAAATCCCTTCCAGGTCCTCACCCTTCAGACCCCACTGTGGTTTGGGGCCCTCAGTGGGCTCTGGGCTTCCTCAGCCCTCCTGACCTTTGGGGTTCTCTTTACATTCACCAAGGGTGGTGTTGATCTTCTTATGGGATCACAGAATGTCCTGAGCTGGAAGGGACCCACAGGGATCATCCATCCAACCCCTGGCCCTGCACAGACACCCCAACAATCCCACCCTGTCCCTCAGGGTGTTGTCCAAACCCTCCTTGAGCTCTGGCAGCCTTGGGGCTGTGCCCATTCCCTGGGGAGCCTGTTCAGTGTCCCAACCACCCTCTGGGGGAGGAACCTTGTCCTGAGATCCCACCTGACCCTGCCCTGGCCCAGCTCCAGCCCTTCCCTGGGCTGTCCCTGTCGTGTTCCATCTCCTTTGGGTGCATCCAGTCTGACTGGCCACCCACCACAGGGTTTGGAGCTTGGATCAGAAGTGCATTATCAGCAAAACAAGGAGATATTGAACATCTAAGCTTAGATGGTCCCTGTGGGTCCCTTCCAGCTCGGGACATTCCGTGATTCCCTGAAGTGCTTCCTGTGTCACCCACCCCTGAATCAGCAGCACAGCCCCAGAGCTGGGGCACAAAGGGCAGTGCTGGGCATGGGGGCTCCCACACAGCAAAGCAGAGGGACAGCAGGGTCCCCCCGGGGTTCCTGCTCTGTCTGGTGTGGGGGTTTCCACACCAGCACAACGAGCTGAGGGATTTTCCTGGAACGATTTTTGCCGCGAGCAAAGTAGGAAAGACCAAGGAGAAAATCCAGAGGATCAAACTGGCCTTGACTGGAGGCTTGAAACAGAAAATTGCTGTGGGTAAAAGGAGTTGTAGAAACGCTCCTGAGAACCCCTTCTTGAGTGAGAAGAGGGGCTGCAGTGCCTCGGGTGTGGGGTGTTCTGGCTGGGAGGGACCTCCCACACTCTGGTTCTGGCTGCATGTGCAGGGTCAAACATGATTCTCGAGCCCCAGAAGGGATCCCTGTGGAGCTCCCCCGTGCAGGGGGGACTCCAGAGGGGCCCTGCAGCCCCTCTGACAGGGCTGTGGTTGGTTTGCAGGGCAGCTCAAGAGGGCCAAGTGCGCCGAGATCGACGTGGAGACGCCCGACTCGATCCTGGTGAACACGAACCTGCGGGCGCTGATCAACAAACACACCTTCTCCCTGCTGCCCCCCGAGTGCCAGCAGCGCCTGCTGCTCCTGCTGCCAGAGGTCGACAGGCAGGTATGGAGGGGCTGGGGGGGCTCACACGGGCACCCTGCCCCACGGGCCGCCGCTGCCCCGGCCCTGGGGGTGTCCCAGGCCAGGCTGGAGCGACCTGGGAGAGTGGGAGGTGTCCCTGGGATAGTGGGAGGTGTCCCTGGGATAGTGGGAGGTGTCCCTGCCCCTGGCAGGGGGTGGGACTGGATGGGCTGTAAGGTCCCTTCCAACCCAGACCATCTGGGGTTCCACGTTCCTGTGGTTCCAGACATCCAAATCCTTTATTTATGTCAATGGGAGCAACCCCTTTTCTTCAGTGCAGGAGGTACAAGGGTTGGAAAATCCTTCTGGGGTTCATTCGGGGGTGTGTTGCTACCATGGATGTGTGGGCAGCAGCAGGGAGGGCTGGGCTGAGGTGAGGATGAGGAGGAGCTCCCACAGCCCCCAGGATCCACCCTGGAGCTCCCACAGCCCCCAGGATCCACCCTGGAGCTCCCACAGCCCCAGGGATCCAGAGATCCAACCTTGAGCTCCCACAGCCCTGGGGATCCAGCCTGGAGCTCCCACAACCCCTGGAATCCAGCCTGGAGCTCCCACAGCCCCCGGGATCCAGCCTGGAGCTCCCACAGCCCCTGGGATCCAGAGATCCAACCTGGAGCTCCCAGAGCCCCCAGGATCCAGCCTGGAGCTCCCACAGCCCCCGGGATCCAGCCTGGAGCTCCCACAGCCCC